TGGAAGGTGAGATGATAGTAGAGGTGGGAAAGAAGATTGAGGAATTAAGAAAGGTGCAGGAATGGGTAACGTTTGTTATGGAAGGAAATGATTTAGATGTTTGCTAGCTAGAATGTGTTTATCTATGTTAGGAAATAACAAACAGATGTTTATAAGTTTTATGAAATTGGTATAATTGTGTTGACATGATATAATAATAACAATAAAAATATATTAAACCAAAAAAAAAAACCCTTATCTCACCCCTCCATCACCTTGATGAAAATTGTACATTAAGTTACAGATCTTTAGCCTTGTGGCAATTTTTGTTCTCCTACAGATTGTATTTGAGCAAATGCATATGTACAAGGCCCTGTCATAGACAAAAGTGGCCATTGTGGGTACATGAGCCAAGTTCGGTATGGGTAAGCTACTTTCCTCTATGGTTGGGCCCAGTGGAGGTGTGGTGGCTGGAATACAGGCAGGTCACTGCAAAATAGAGATGCCGCCCAAGACAAAACAGGCAGGACTCCTATTAGATTCTCAGTCTGTGGGTATTTGTTCTTCCATTTAAATTTCTGATTCTACAGCAAAAAGCTAAATGGAGTTTGGAGCCTTTGGCAATACTTTGCCTGGATATTACAAATAACCATGCAACATTGCTGCAGTAAATTTTGCATTTTATGTAAATGCAATGTTACACCACTTTAAAGGAAACCTATAAAGAAAGGACTATAAGGGATAACAATTCTAGTTTGACTTTTAATCTCATATTGAACATGGATTTACAAGATAGTGAAACAAGAATCAGAATGGTAGTCCTGAAACCTGCACAGGAGCCAAGTTGGAAACAACAGCTCCCATATATCTTTTCTCACATGTTTCCCTTTATTAGTGAATATATGTGTAGACATATCCAGTAAATATCTAATAATTTTGGTCTTAAAAGAAACCCACTCTATAAGAAATGTGTGTGCTGACTTTACAGACCTCCTTCCGATAATGTTAGCTGCCTTGGCTGTCATGTTGATTTTCTGGCTTCAATGCTTTGTGTGCCAGTGCCCTGGAAGTAGTATGTAGGTCAGGTGTTCTGCCTTTTTCAGAAGGAGGTCTAAAATGGAAACTATATAGATCTTTCTGTGAAGCTAATTTTAGGTGAAATTCTAGGCAAAAATTTTTTAGTTTAGAATATTGTGGAGAAGGTTTGATCTTCTGTTTTTCACTGCTGCCTTTGTCCCTATTTTAGCGATTTAGCCTCAGTTCCCATCTGTCACTGGAACAAAATTTGAGGGTAAATCACACCTTTGCCAGTTGTCATTAGAACAGAATGAGGGCAAATCTCCCAGTGTGAAACCTATCCTTAAGCCAACTGTCAATGGTGGGATTTCCCTCATTTTTGGCGATTTTCTTTCCCTTCTTGACATGTAATCAGAACATGAATTGAGGGGGGAATCTCAGAGGATCTAACTCTTCCTTACTCTACCCAAAACTAAATAGTTTGTAGCAGGAATTTCTCTTTCAATGTTTTGGCTTATAGTAATTAACCTTAAATTGGTAATACAATGATTCCATTTTCTTGGCTATACACAAAAAATCTGTATTCCATTTGCTTAAATGTCAGTCTAATGCAGCAGTTTCTAACCTTTGCTTAAATTGGCAAGAGTGTTAACAGCATGCTTGTAATGTCAGAGCTATATTAAATCATGTGGTATAAAACGGTTTGGGTGTTATCACATTTTTAGCAACATAACAGCTGGTCTTTGTGTGGGCTTCCTTGTCAAATTCTTCGAAGTGTACGCTAATAGATTACTCTTTTCTTTCTCTCTCTCTCTGTTCACACTCTCTTATTCTCTTTGACATGCGTTGCCATCTACTCAGAGGATGCAGAAGGCTGCTAAAATCAAGAAAAAAGCGGTGTGTGGAGCATTTCATATGTGTAATGAAATCCATTGCATTGACTTTTTTCATTTCATCAAAAACAACAGTTATTCACTGTTATACCATAATATCTGGCTAACAAAACCATTGTTGTTTGTCATTGCTCATGTCATATCATGCTAGGGCAATGATTAAAAAAAATGAATATGCTATATTTCTAAATAAATATACTCCTTGAGCATGTTTGCTAAGGTAGTTCAAAATGCAATGATGATGTCCAAAGGGCTGTAACTCACACTATCCAATCAGGTTTTAGTTTATGACGGCTAGATCAGTTAGACAAGGTTTGAATAATTTGTACTACTATGTATGGAGGCTGGATTCCAGGTATCTCTATAGTTTCATTTAAAAACACAGAAGTATCCTATCAAAAAGCCACAATTCTAATGCAAATAAAGATATATATCTATTTGATTGAACTGATATTAGACATTTCTTATCTGTGGATGTCTGCTTCCTCTCCTTTTTTTCCAGCTTCCCTTTCCTTCTGTTTGTGCCAATCCCATGAACGCTGCCCCAGCTTTCCTTTCCCTGGGTGTGTTCCTTGTGGGGTCCTATGTGGACACCCATTTATGCGCGCTCCCATGTACAATTTCATCCTGATGTGAGGGTGCTGCCATTGTACAACACACAGAAAACAGGGCGCTCTGCTGCAATGCATGATGTGACATGTAGGGCTGATGAATGGAATCTAGGGACTGATAATTAGGTTGTGAGTGCAGGATCCCCGACCGAAGGTTCGGAAAAGCAGGAAGCAAGGGGATGCAGCAGCAAACAGAGAAATAAAGTAAGCATTTATGAACTTTGCTGCATGAAGTCTGCATTAATGAATAAAGATGTGTCACAAAACCACCAAATACATACACATAATATCCTAACCCTAACCCACCCTATTACAACAACATTTTCCTATTTTACAGGTTAAGTAAATGCCAATATAATAAGCTGTGTAACCACCAGTAGGAGATTGAGTGTGTAACAAACCTTACATTAATCACATTTATTACAAAGGAAGGGTAGATAGGTAGACTGGTTTTGTGACTTAATAAAATACATATTTATCTTTTTTAACATTAGTTTGATAGGATCCTTCAGCTAGTTCCCTTGATATCTAGTCAGATCAGTTAAGGGTCACTGTCCTCTTATATAAGCCAGTAGCAGGCATTTTCATTGCATAACCAAAACATCGTTTTCAATTTTTCATTTTCATTTTCGTTTTCAGGAGGAATATCAAGCTGCGTAGGAACTAGACATATAAATGGCTGGGGTGCCGAATAGCAGTTCAGTCTTGCAAATGAAGAAGCACTGATATTAGAAAATGCATGTCTAGCTCATAAAGGCCAGTTAATAAAGGTATAAGGCAAGAAACACAGATACGTTATATACAGATCCTTATAGGAAGTGGTTGCTAATACGCCACTGAGATCTGGTAGACTTGGAAGCTTGCCATGTCATTTTCTGGTAAAAGAGCACACAAGCACTGAACAACTATAATTAATAAAGACAAGTTCCTGCACACGGCGTCATCTGCAGTCTTTGTATGTGACATATCATAGGGAATTGGACAAACAAAGTGAAATCAGCACCCTTTGTATCTACAAGCAAGTCAAATAATGGGAATCACAATCAATTCAGTAGCAAGTTTTAAATGTATCTGTAGTGTAAACTTTTTGGCCTGGTTTTGGTTAAAGTGGGGAAGAATTAGAGCCCCTGCCTCCAGAACAGGAGTAGAGAAGAATGCCCAATAGGGCCAGCTTGTTCTGGTGACGGTTGTGTAAGAGGTTATTTCTCCTTACTCTTGGGAGATTTCCACTCATTTCCTGTTGTGGCTTTGATACAGGACACAAAGGCAACTTTCCCAGGACATTTACTAAAAAACTGGGAGAGGTTCTAACCATTTTCTACTCTACTCAAAATTTAAAAAATGTTTTAACTTTAAATACGGTATGCCAGCTTGGCTAGCTTAATCAGTGTTGAAGGTGATCCCGCTGCACCCTAAGTGAAAATGGTGATCGTCCTGTAACAAAATACTTAGCTAAACAGCAACACAGGCTCATTTGCAGTAGATATGGGAAATTAAGTCATAATATATTTATTACATGTTACTATAAATAAAAGAGGTCATTGGGACACTTCCAGCATGGTTGTGTAATGTGATTACACTCCTGCTGGTTTCAGGGACACAAGCTTTTACTTTGAATTTGCTTTGATCCAATGAAAAAGTGGATTTTTATAATATCCACTGTCATCAGATTTATATTACAGCCAACGTTATGTTATTACATCATTATTATTAAACTGTAAAACAAACCCAAACTGTAAAACTGCAAACCCTAATTGGATTTTTCAGTTTGTTTGGCATGATGCCTTACTCATACAACTCTCTTAAGCAAATTTTTTTTTTTTACCTGGAAATCCTGCCTGTAACAGCACTTCCTGTTTTAGGCAGACAACGCTAAGCCACTGGTTTGTAATTAGCAGTGTAGTCAGCCTTGACCATTGGGTTTTCTATCAGATCTGCGCATGCCTCCTGCAAACCCAATAGGCAGTGCAACTGCCAACTAAAGGAGTGTGCATGGCAGGCTGACAACCTTGCTGGTGATTGTAAGGCAGTGGTTTACTGTTGTCAGCCTGAAGTAGGAAGTGCTATTACTGACAGGGTCTCCAGGCAAGAAACTGTGCAACAGTTAAGAAACCAGTATACAGTAAGGCATAAAACATACTGAAAAATAGTTTTTAATTTTATAGCAGTTTTAGTATATGTAAAATCTTTTATTTGCCATTGCCAGGCCTTAGTTTCACCAGTGTCCCACAACCTATTTACTGTAGCTAGTTCAGTCTTAACGGTTACAACATTTTCCAGGACTGAAGTTTTTTCTTGTGTACTATCGGCCTGTTTCTTAGCCATAGTGCCTCTTCAAATATCTTATAACGCCTGAAAACTCACCCTGATTGTGTATGTGTCAATAAATGTTGGTGTGATGAGCAAATATTATTACAGCATTTTTATATAGCGCTGACAATTTAGGCAGCATTTTACATAGTTGCACATTCACATCAGTCCCTACCCTCAAGGAGCTTACAATCTAAGGTCCCTATCTCACATGCATACATAGAGGGCCAACTTAGAGAGGAGCCAATTAACCTACCAGCATGTCTTTGGAGTGTGAGAGGAAACCGGAGTACCCAGAGGAAACCCACGCAAGCACAGGGAGAACATGCAAACTCCTTGCAGATAGTGACCTGGCTGAGATTCAAACCAGGGACCCCTGGTGCTGCAAAGCAGAAGCGCTAACCACTACGCCACTGTGCTAGTGAAGAAGCATTCTGCATGTCTTAGTGCTGATTGGACAGGCACTGGGGGGTAGTTCTCATTGCTCAACACCACTTGGATATTACAATATAGGGAAAACGGGCACTATGGAGAATGTCTATTCTTCTTACCTCTCCTAGAATAAGCAGTGTCCAGGTCTATGTGATAGAAAGGTAATCCCAGCACCCACCCCACCCACATTTAGTACACATTGTCCCAAAGGGCCCTTGTGCAGCTGTACAAATGGTTTGTCCTTTACCTTTAATACAACATGGTGACAGCGCAATACTCAGCATACTCAGCAAACCTGGTGACGTTTCTTTTGCATCCTAGGAGCTGAGTATATATTTTTTTCTTGGTCAAATCTGCATGTCTGTGTTAAGAAGGAGAGTGGCCATAATATAAATTGTATGTATGATTTTTACAGGACTATTTACAAAAGGCTCAATTTACAAAGCTTAAAGGAGAACTATGGGGTCAATGCTTTCCCCCATAGTTCTCCTCAAGCTCAGTATCGCTGTATACTGAGACTGCCGCAGGCGGGACGGATCACGACATCACTGTCGAGAGCCACCCAGCTGCATGATTGACAGCTGGCTCTGCCTATCTAGAGGCAGAAACAGCTGTACCCGCCCCCTCCACCGTCCGTTCCGCCAGTCAGCGCTGGAGGATCGGACAGGGGAGGGGGGAATCCCTGCAAGGAGCTGTGAGTGATAGTCACGGCTCTCTGCAGGGACAGGATGGAGAAGTGAGTGAGCGACTGTATCTGTTCGCTCACTTCCCGATCTATTGAGCCGACGTGTGACAGTTTCATTGAACTGTGAGTTAGATTGAAGCTCGAACTGTGAGGCTGAGTGATTTTTACTGAGCTCATAGTTCTCCTTTAAACACCAGGATAAAGATCTTTAGTTTCAAGAAAAGGACCATTTATTTTTTAGAGTGTGACTCATAATGTCTAAAAGGCTGGAACCTTCCATCTACTTACATATTTGTTACACAGCTCCATTTTTTAGCAGTTATACAAAGAACAATATTGTCACTATAGCATGGTCAAGAATAGAATTCCCAATGCACAGACTAGACACAATCTATGTAGCACTATAAATTGAGTTACAGATTTTAATTATGAATATCCCAAAATGACTTGCATACTAGTGGTGCTATTATTTGGCTAATGCCTGTGCACAGCTTGATTTCCTTGACTCACACACTAATGACTCCTGATTATGTTTTGCTTTTAATGCCTAATATGACTTGCATATACATGATGTGTGCCTATACCCCTATCCCTGCAGATACACAAAATCAGGGATGTTTTTTCATGTAGATCTTGCAGCATGTTTGTCTCTGAACATGTGCGGGGATGTAAATTAATGCAGAAATGTAATACATGACATCTAAATAGAGATAAAAGTTGTATCCGTCACTGTGACTTCAAATGAGCTGTCATTTTTATGTAGCTCACAAATCTCCTGCTTGACAGGTAATAGATCAAAAGACAGATTGCCGTGATCAAATGACGCTCCTTTTTACACCTGTGCTGTGTGGCCTGGACTTATTTACAGATAGATTTCTTGTTCCACTGATTTGTACCTATGTGGCATATTTTTTAATGGGGCGAAATCATGACTTTCTGTGGCTTCATTTGATTCATCAAGATGTG